TATATATATATGTATATATGTATATATATGTATATATATATATCTGCCAATTTGGGAGTGTAATTCACATTACAAAGTTCTCAAAAAGAGAACTGGTCAGCCAGGTTTAAATGAAGACGTCATGCTTGACAGCAAAGGAAACAGCTTTGTGGGAGGGCTGCCATATGTTTCTGTGTGTGAGATAGATATTCATAATGAAAACAAAGGGAGTTTTGATTGTTAAGCTGTCTGTTGTCCCTCACAGGAACACGAGCGAGAGAAACATGCCCACTCTGTGCTTCAGTTCCAGTTCAATGAAATGAAAGAGACGCTAAAACAAAGTGAAGAGCTTCTAAATGTGAGTATTTGTACCCAGTGTGAACGTGTGTCACTAAGACTGCGGGTGCAGACGTAGAGCCTCACATGGGTTAAAAAGACAGGACAACAGCTGCCTTTTACTCAGTTTGTCAGTTAAATAGGCTGCATGTTGGGGATACATTTCACAGCTCTCTGTTTTTTTCCCACACACTGTATATATGCATGCACTGTTTCTCTCTTTTTGCTTTCTTTCTCTACATCTCAGACTTGATTTCCTTTTGCTGCTGTTTAGGACATCCGTCAGCTGCGTAACAAACAGGAAGGTTTTGTTAGGGAAATATCTGACCTGCAGGAGACGGTGGAGTGGAAGGATAAAAAGATTGGGGTACGGCCAATCAGCTCTGGTCCAGCAGTTTTGTTTTATATTAACTTTATCACGTTCAGCATTTACTTTGGCAGACATGAATTCAATATCTCCTTTGCATGAAACTAAATGCCACCTTTTACTTTCACTTCTTGTCACCTCTTATACACTTTTCTTTTCACTTTCTTCTGCACTCTGCCACTTGGGGGCTCTGCTCAGGCCTTAGAGCGACAGAAAGAATACACAGATGCAATCCGAATTGAGCGAGATGAGCTCAGAGAGGAGGTGGTGCAGCTGAAAGACATTCTGAAGGTACCCAGTCAGTGTGTAAATGCTTATTTTAACCTGCTGTCTCTAGTTTTGAGAAGAATATTTGAAACTCAAGCGTGAAAATGAATTGCATTGAATATTGTTATCATGGTAACTAAAGCATAAAAAGTGAAACCAGATCCTAGGATTATTGAATGTATACAGTTATTACAAGTGCAAATGTTTTTTAGGTGTATGTGTTTCAAACTGTCATTTTTAAAAACAAATATACAGCATACATTGCAACTTATTTTCAAAGTGTGTAATCTTTGGAGCTAATGGACTTCTTGTTAATTTTGTCTAGAAACATGGAATAGTACTGGGACCTGACCTAAATATCAATGGAGAGGTTGCTGAGGCAGTGGACGGGTCCTCCAGTGCAGACTCTGCTTCCCAACCAGCTCAGGAATCACAGACCTCCCCACCGGAGGGGAACAGCATGCTCGGTAAAACACGTTGTGGAATAAAAATCTCTTACTGCATGGCTGTCTGAAAACTTTCATCCCAAAATGCTCTGTCAGCTCTTTATTTTAATTTAAACAAATTCCATGAAAATACCCAAATCAACAATAACTTGATCCTACCAACAAGTATTGTGTATCAGCCTGATATATCATCTTAGTCTGTGCCATAGAGCTCCATTGTTGTCCAAAAATATTAAAAACACAAATCATTGGGCCAGACTCCTGCACGCAAATACTCTCTTGTGGACCAAATATTGATTAATCTGCACCTGATAATAGTGCCCAACAAATGCACACTTTAGTCCCGATTGAATATTTTGCTAAAACTACAGTAACCAGCAGTTTTAGGAATTACTGAGCCTTTTAGAAAAATGTGTTTGTGAACATTTTTTACATCTGTAGAAGGAATTAACATGGGTAAGTGCTACGGACAGGGTAGGAAAGTTGTAAAATAGTGAGACAGACTTGCGCATTAGTTACTTAGATTTAATCTTTTCATGGAATTTGTTGACAACAAGAAAAATTACAGAGGCATGGCAGCCTTGTCCTTTAACATCCATCTGACCTCTTGCTTTCCTGTACAATCTTAGATTCCACTTATTAACTCACCAAACTTGCTTGCCTTCATTACTAATGTTTTGGCTTTAAATTTGTTGCTATTGCACCTTTTTCTTCATTTTAGCTAATACATATTAGCTCTGAATCACGACTAACTCTGTCAATGCAGATAGGTGTGTAAATGCTGACTGGCCTCTGCAGGGTTGATGGTTCAAAGCATTGAGAGTTCTTTTTAAATAGTGTGTAAACTGAACATTATTGTATATGCACTGTAATGTATACCTTTGAGCTGCCGGCCTAAGACTTTCTTTTCTTGTCGCATTGATGTGCCGGGGCCCGGGGATCAAGACACTTCATTTCGGTGTTCCTTCTGCCTTTCTTCTTCTTGTTCTCCTTGTGCCTCTTTTGGTCATCTGGGCTCTGTGCTTCTCTTCCTGGCCACTGAATCAATCAGGTTTTCTGCCTTACCTTGGCTTCTGCTGATGCACTTCCTCATGAAGATGACAGTTTTCAAAATCATGTCTTAAGTCAAATTTTTTTGTCCCTCTATCACTGTATACTCTTCATGATCCCTCAGGCAACACAGAGGAAACGCAGTTGAGAAGTAGTGGAGGGGAAGAAGTTGATCCTGAGCAGCATCAAGAGATGTTTGAGAAAGGCAAAGAGAATCACTTGAGCTCTGATACTGTCTCTGCCATTGGTGGTGTGTCCACTCTGGAGACATCAAGCCAAGAACAGCCAACAGAAGAACAACAGACGTGCTTAGAAGACAAGGAGACTGCCACAGAAGAAGACACTTTTGAGAAGCAAGGCTTTAGCAAGGACTTAAATGGTGGCATTAATGACCAGTTACTCACAGAAGCCAATACAGATACAATTGTTTGCAGCCCTGACCTTCAGGGGATTGTACCAAGTTCTGAGGAAAATGTTCTAGACACAGAAACACCAAAGGGGGGAGATTTAGGGGAGACCAGTAACCAAGACAGGGAGGAGACAGAAACTAACACCAGTAATGTTGACACACAAAGTGATGACATTAGAGAGTCATGCAACAACCTTTTTGAAAAACAAGAAAACAAACAGGAAGATGAGGAAAGTAATTTGAGAAATACAGAATCATGTCCACAGCAAAATGTTGCACAAGATGTTGTGAAAGAAAGTTTACCTGATGGATCCGTCCCATTTTCATCAAACACCAAACTTCAACAAGAGCCTGAGAATGCAGAGGAGGCAGAGAACGAGGAGGCAGAGGAAATATCAAGTAAAACTCAGCCTCACGGCACTGCTGCTTCAGGGAAAAAGAAGAAAAAGAAGAAGAGAGGCAAAAAGAAAGGAGGAACTCATGAGGATAAGAACCAACAAAAAGATAGAACAGATAAAGAAAAGGGCAAAACAGAAAAAGACATGGAGTCAGCCACAAGAGGTAAAGGGCCAACAATAGAACTTGAAGTTGATGATTCTGTCACTGAAACTGTCAAGGAATCAAATATAGATCAAGTTAAGGAGAAGGACAGGCAAGAAACTGAGGAGGTAGATGGAGTAGAAGCAGTGAAGCCCACTGAAATATTTACTCCCAATGAAACTCTCAAAGAATCTAGTATGGATCATGTTATAGCAGAGCACGACACGGAGCAAACTTTGGAAACAAAAAATGTGGAAGAAGCAGAAGCCACAGCAAATCCTGAAACCTTTTCACACATTGAAACTCCCAAGGAAGTAAGCGTGGATCATGTTACAGATGAACAGAACGAGGGCCAAAGTGAAACTGCAGAAGTAGTAGAGAAAGAGGCACCAGTCACACCCACTGAAACCATTTCTCATGTTGAAACTCTTAAGGAATCCAGACCAGATCCCAGAAAGGATAAGCAAGATGAGGAACTAACTTTGGAAACAGGGAAAGTAAAAGAAGCAGAATCTATAACAAGTGATGTTCCAGAAACCAACCTGAGTACATCTGATCCCATTGACAACTCCAAAGGTGCTGAGAGCACTGATGGTCTTGACAAGGAGTGTACTTCCAGTGTTGATAACTCTAAAAGTGAAACAGACATCTCAACCAATGGCAATGTCGTCCATACTGCATCAGAAACTGAATGTTTGATTGTTAGTGTAGAGGATGAAGTTGAGTCTGTTGATGAGATGAAATCTGAATGGACAACTAATAATGCCGAAAACACCTTTGAATCAAGCAGGAAGGAAAACACTGAAGCTGAATTATATGTTCCAAGCAATGGTGACATTGCTGCTGATGAATCTGAATACAAAAGAAATTCTGAGAATAAGGACAACAATTCAATGTCCCTTTCTTCTACTGATGGCTTAACTAATACTCTCAAGAGCTTGTCTGGCTCAGAGCTGGCCTCAAACCAGTCTGAAGCAGTAAACTCAGACAACAATGACACTCTCATCAAGGTTACCGATGAAGGTCCCAAGGAAGCAACTGAGACAGTCAAAGATGATGAGGAGCCAGGAGCAGAGATTGAACAGGAATCCATTTCTCCCTGTATCATTTCTCCCAAACATGACAGGGATGATTCAGAGCTCAAAGCAGACAAAACTGAAAAGGAGGAACTGAATGGAGACTCAAGGGAACCTAAAGATTCAGTAGAGACCGACAGCTCACATGACGAAAAAAGTGGCAGTTGTGACAGTGCATCATTATCCAAAAGCACTGATGCATTAGACACGGTACAGAGTCTGTTGGAGACTGTAGTGCAGGCAGAACAACTGGATGATGTAGAAAACCAGACATTACAGTCTGAGGATCAGATTGATGAAGCAAATGCTGAAGTGACCCCAGAAACAAAAGATGTCGACATGATAAATACACCAGACTCTCCAAATCAGACTCCTGAAATTGAGTCCTCTGTCGAGCAGGACCACAGTAGTGAAGATCCGGAACATAAAAACAGTCAAAATGATCAGCAGAGTGAGACACAGCAACTGCACGAACCCAGCTTAGACAAGCCTGACAGTAAGGATTCATCCCAACCCACCCTGCATGACAGCGATGAGGAGGACCCTGAAAATGATGAAGGGCTGTCTTTTGATTTTGATGACATGGATATGGAGGCAGCTATCGCAGCAAGTCTCCCTGAAAATCCGAAACAGGAAGAAGTTGAGGAGGGAGTTGAAGTCATGTCAGTTGAAAGCAACGACAGTAGTTCAGGGCTGTGCCAAAGTAATACTGAGTCAAATGAAAATAGACAAGATGAGCCAGTTGAAAGTAATGATGAGAAATGTACAGTCGATGGGGGTTCCCAGGTAGATACACTAGTTACTGTGCCTGGAGACAACCCAAACTCTTTGGCTCATGATGATGCCACGTCTAATACGGTGGAACATATGGAAAATGTGTGTGAAAAGCAGACAGATATGCCTGAGGCCGAAGTAGGTGTAGCAGAAGAACCTGGGCACATTATCGAGGAAGGAAAGGTTTTAAATGCTGAGGAGTTAGATGTTGTTGCAGAGGACAATAACCAAGCAATGTCATTACCCATAGAGGAAGGATTGGATGCCATTAAGCATGAGTTGCAGGGTGAAAATTTGGATATGCCAAAAAGTGCGGAGGTTAGCAACAAAGAGCCACAGCAGACAGGGAGAGATGTGAAGAAGAACAGCAAGAAAGGCAAAGGCAAGGGCAAAGAAGAGTGTAAGATGTCTTAGCAAATGGATGTATGTAGTAAAGATATATTGTGTATCATTTGATCTGTCCACTTACTAGTATTTGCTTAGCTGTTTACAGTCTAGTGCAGAACCTCACAGCACTTTGATCCTTTCCCAAATGAATATTAATGTATGTTTGTATGTCCTGTTGTCAAATCTATGTAAACAGTCTAAGGTCCAAACATCAGTTTTTATTAACGTCATATGTGCAATGATGAGAATGTAAACTGTAACATTTGATTTTACTGTTGGACAGTACTGCACATGATATGTCAGGTGACATAATCTTGTTATTGTGTCATGGCTAATATTGCTTTGCGCCTGTATCTCACATATAGTTCATAGATGGACAAAAAAAACACAAATTCTAATTGGTAGTTGTCATTTTGACTCAAGCCAACTAGCTTTACATGTTCTAGCTGTAATGTTGATGGTTAAGATAAAAAGGTGTTCCGAGACCCTGTACTGTTCTCAGGGGTTTAAAAAAAACCTGCTGTTTGACTTAAAGGCACAGTTCGGACCTTTTGAAGTGGGGTTGTATGAGGTGCTTATCCATAGTCAGTGTATTACAGACAGTAGATGTCAGTCAGCACACCCCCAGTTTGGATAAGCAGCAGAAGTGCTGACACAGAAGCAAGGCAATGGACGGTGGGCAGCAGCATAACATATTTTAGCCACCTAACAGGGAAACAGATTAAGTGTGCACTATATGGAGAATATTTTCACCGCTTTACCTTTCCGTCAGACACCTCACTCTGACAGGAAGCTGTTAACAGCTTCAGTTACTCATCTATGCTCTTGTCAAAGCCACCAGACTCCACTGACAAAAACAGTAATTTTGGCTTGCTGAACACAGGGGCTGTGGGTCTACTGCTGTCTCGATTAGTTAGTTTGTGTTATTGTGTGAATTTTGTGAATCTGAACTAACCCTTTCAAACGCCAAAGTCACACAATTACGCAAAGTAACTGATGAAGGCAGCGGTAGACTGTCAGCTCCCATGTTCAGCAATGTTAAGTCACAGTTTTTCTCAATGGAGTCTGGCTTTGAAGAGAGCATTATGGGAGCTTAATTTCACTGTCCCAAATTGCTGTCTGATGGCAAACTTAAACAGTGAAAATATTCTTTTTTAGGTGGCTATAATACATTTTGTTGCTTCCCCTGTCCACAGTAGTGCATTGTTAACTTCAGTTTCAGACTCCAGCCTGCTTCTCCAAACTGGGGGCAGGGCGACTGACATTCATTGTAGGTAATACACTGACTTTGGATAAGTACCCCATACAACCCCACTGCACAATATCTGAATTATCCCTGTAAACAAAGCCATTTCCATGTGTAACAATGGAATGTGTTTGATAAATGTATGTTTGCATTTTGTTGCACTTAATGGAAAACATGAATGTGGTGCATCCACACTGAAATACCAATAAATACCCTGCTGTTACCAATTTGAAATGTTTATCTAAATGCATTTTTGTAATGAAATTCCTTGAGTGACATAATGAAAAGCAATGTGTCAGATGTCAGCAAGAAATATTACTCTCATTCTTTGTAGGCAGCACATTTACACATCAATGTTCATATCTTATTATACTTTATTATTGTGTGGTCATGTAGTGTGAATGTAGTCCTGCCAGCTGTGTGCTTTTGCATTGACCCTCTTCTCCACAGTTTGTGCATGCTAACATTCCCCTTCACACTCCACTCCATCACTCCCTCATGGATGCCTGCACTGTTGCATGCATCAGCCTCACACCCTGACCCAGCCCCCCTTACACCATCTCCTTGGCTCCTCCCACCCCTGGTATGTTAACTTTTTATTTGTTTTAAGGATGGAGAGTAGCCGTTATGATTAATGTTGTCTGAACGGGTGTTGTGTTATGGCTTTGTGATGCATGATGTTCGTGAATTCATGATATGAAGAAGAATCAGATGTCAAATGTCTTCTCAAACATGTGTTCTACCTTTTAGAGATTCGCCTAAGGAAACTGGTGGATGAGCGTGAAAAAATGATAGAGCAGGTGGGTCAGTGATCAGAGACGATAATGTGGATGTTGATAATGTTTACTCCGATAAAGAGATTTGTGCATATACACACACACACACATATATACCCCCCTAACTATATATGTGTATGTGTGTATGTATGTATATGTATATATATATATATATATATGTGTGTGTGTGTGTGTGT